AGGCACTACCTCCCCTCCAACCTAATCGATGTGGGATTCGCCTTAAGGAGCAGTACGCCAGGGCGCACTCTCCCCCTTATGGACTCAGCGTCCTCGCTGAGGAACGCCGAGGTTTGCCCCACCATCGACACTGGCTCTGATACCACTGTAACGTCCCCAGCCAGAGTGATATTGTCCGCTTTAGGCCGGGTTATTGCCGAAGCATCACCTCGGCTCCTCATGGTTTTGTTTTCCCCTGGAAAAGGCCTCACTCTGGGGAGGGAGGTTCGTAGGCTTATAAGGCACTACCTCCCCTCCAACCTAATCGATGTGGGATTCGCCTTAAGGAGCAGTACGCCAGGGCGCACTCTCCCCCTTATGGACTCAGCGTCCTCGCTGAGGAACGCCGAGGTTTGCCCCACCATCGACACTGGCTCTGATACCACTGTAACGTCCCCAGCCAGAGTGATATTGTCCGCTTTAGGCCGGGTTATTGCCGAAGCATCACCTCGGCTCCTCACGGTTTTGTTTTCCCCTGGAAAAGGCCTCACTCTGGGGAGGGAGGTTCGTAGGCTTATAAGGCACTACCTCCCCTCCAACCTAATCGATGTGGGATTCGCCTTAAGGAGCAGTACGCCAGGGCGCACTCTCCCCCTTATGGACTCAGCGTCCTCGCTGAGGAACGCCGAGGTTTGCCCCACCATCGACACTGGCTCTGATACCACTGTAACGTCCCCAGCCAGAGTGATATTGTCCGCTTTAGGCCGGGTTATTGCCGAAGCATCACCTCGGCTCCTCACGGTTTTGTTTTCCCCTGGAAAAGGCCTCACTCTGGGGAGGGAGGTTCGTAGGCTTATAAGGCACTACCTCCCCTCCAACCTAATTGATGTGGCCCTGGCGTACTACTCCTTAAGGCGAATCCCACATCGATTAGGTTGGAGGGGAGGTAGTGCCTTATAAGCCTACGAACCTCCCTCTCCAGAGTGAGGCCTTTTCCAGGGGAAAACAAAACCGTAAGGAGCCGAGGTGATGCTTCGGCAATAACCCGGCCTAAAACGGACAATATCACTTGGTGCTGGGGACGTTACACCATCAATCACAGGGGGATATGTGGTGATATTTGAAAGTTAGAGTATAATCCGCACATGGCCTAAACCATAAGGAGGTAAAGTGAAGTTTGCCTAATATAAAATACCCTTTTTTTAAATACCAACAATTAGAAGAAAAAACAAACTAAAGAAAAGGACATTTTAGTTTCTAACGTGACATATTCATAATTTTTCTTATTTTCTATGATAGTAGAGGTGATTAAGGTGATTTAATGCATCCTTAACAACAAAACCCGTAAAAGAAAAGACTCAAAAACCCCTTTGTTGCATTGAAAGTGGCCACCAAAACTGGCTTGTCCAACTTTAACATCAATGAAAGACGTGGTGTCCAAACCGTGGTTCTTCTAATTTAGCAAAAAACAAAATGTTCATAAAAACAAAGCTAAGCAAACCAAATTACACTCTGGATTACACTCAATTAATTCCCTTTCCCTTGTTGGATTTGCTGAAGCAGCGCTGCCGCCAGTTGTAGCGTCGCCTGCAATCGTTTCTGGGGATCCGCATCTTCCTCCTGCGTGCCGCCACTCTGCAGCTGTTGTTGATTCCCCGAAGCACCACTACCCGTCTGAAACTCCGTTCGCGGCCCCACATCCACATTTGAACCCTGATGCTGCTGCTGCGGAGGCTGCATTTGTTGCATTTGACCAAACTGAGACGATGAAGAAAGATCAGAATGTACCGGATTGTTCTGTAAACCGTACGTCTGAGGTGTCCTGTATGCATTTTCAGAATGATTCACAGTGGTGCTTGAGTGCCTAAAATCTTCCCCCATTGACTGCCTCGGTTGTTGCCCAAGAAGTGATGATGCCAATTGTGCAAGTTGTTCTGGTTGAAGTGCTGCAACGGGCATTGATGAAGAAACCGGAGGCAACTTGATACCTGCAATTCCGGAACTGTAACTACCGGAATTTGTTTCTTGGGCGGCCCTAGGCATGACGGCATTATTATATCCCTGAACAGAAGGATCCACACTGGGACCTGATTGCGATGCTACATTTCTAGCACTGGAATTCAAGTTCTGCATATGGTGAGATGAGCTGTTTGGTGCAAACGCAGGGTGGTTTCGCTGATGAAGCATATAATTGTTCCTGCCCTCGTTAGTGGCGTCAGATGTAGTTCCAATACCGTGAGACGAGCCGGAAAACGATGCGGGTGAAGGGGCTGTAGGCAAATACCCTTGGAGTGATAAATTACCAACCCCGGAATTTCCCATATTGGTAAAAGATCCAGGTGATATCGGTTTTGGGTATGACGGATCTCCATGATAAGACATGAAATTCGTGTCTTTTTTATCAAGTGGGTGATGAAGAGAAGGCCCAGAATTGGAACCAGGATGTTCTAACCTTAAGACAACGCCTGAGATGCTCAGTTTCCCCGGTACTTTTAGTACTTTCTCGGAGAATTCTGAAGGGGGTACTACAAACAAGGTCGTTCGCTCATCCAATTTAGCCACAGCCGCTCGCTCCTTCTCCCCTAGATAATTCATGAATTCGTTGTAGAATCCAATATCAGCATCACTTTCTGGAACAAAGAATACCACCCATGCATTAGCTGCTTGATAGTAATGCTTTGCAAGCATTTCTAAGCTAGTCCTTGCAGTGCAATCTAGGAATTCAGGCCTGCAGCAGTAAAATAGAATTATAAATTTCACAATCCGAATACAACAGGCAATTTTTTCATTTTTTTTTTTTAATATGTGCAAGAGTGAATTTGGGTGTGCAATGGATCTAAATTTATTCCCTCCTGTTTTACAGACATTTCAAAAAGGTATTATTTGAAAATAACAAGTTTTAGTTTGCATAAGGTGAGTTGCTATAGGATGGAACCATGCTGATTGGTGCTGAAATGTATACATCAAGGTCCCTAAAGTACATCTGTTAAGTCTAACCATTGTCACTAGATATGTTTCACTCGGTTTGCATGATTGCAGGTCACAAGTGCTGTTCACGTGGAAATTGGCTTTAAAATGGAGATATAGAGGCGTGACCATTGTGCACCAAAAGAACCGAGCCAAGGATGGAACAATGGAACAGGCTCAGCAGTCCACCACTCACCACTGCTTGAGTGGTAGGATCCCGGGAAGGGTGGAGTCTCAGAAGAAAATACACAGCCTCAGCAGTGTTCAGCTCAAGAGGTCATGGGCACCACTCGAGTGGTGGTCAGCATGAAGTTCAGAATAGGTCTGCGATTTTGACCTGTTTCAACCATAATCTGCTTGGTAGCATAAAAAGACAGCTTAGACACAAAAATATAGTTGTTGATTCTTTCAGAAAGAGGCTACAAAGCAAACAACCTCGCCTTGAACGGCTAGGCTTGCCTTCTTGGGGTTTAGATGAAACCCTAGTCAAGTAATGAGATTTATTAAATTTTAATTTTGGGATTAGTTCTAATGTATGATGATTGTATAAACAACAGGTTTATTGATAGAATGGTTTTATTGTTAAATTTCAAATTGTGTTTGACTTCTGTGATTTTGAATACCACGTTTATGGAATGGTTTTCTTTGTACATGATTTAAGTAGTAAGATGGGTTGTACCAAGGGAAGACAAATCGCGCCTATGACCATGGTTTTAGCGTGTGGACGATTTTTCTTAACACGGTGGATAATCCATACCAAGGACTCAAATACATGAACCCTCTTGAAGACATCACTAGACTTCCTGTTGTGAATCAAAATCTTGATAATGACTAAATCCTAGAATTGATATAATAAACCTTGATTACAGGCTAGAGGTGGATTCAATATCCCAAGTCCTTATTATTGGAACACCGCTTACTTGGATTTTATTTAATTTGGCTTAATTTCAATTTTAGCTCTTAATATAATCAATCAACATTTTGAACCTAGTACCTGTGATTCGATACGTGGACTAAACCACTACTATACTTAATTGAATTCTAGTACGGATTTATTTTTTATTAAAAAATGATCGATCACATGCCCCTGCATAGTAACATCTATAATTATGATGGGCCATAGGATATGCATTTAAGTGAATGGTCAGTACTCACTCCTAAAATGAGAGAGAACAGATCTAAACAAATGAAATAAATCAAAAAAAACAACATTGTAATGAGAAGACTTAAAAGTTCAAACTAATATCTTAGGTTCCAGACACGCAAAAGCAGATAAGAGAAAATATCCTCGACACGAACCATGTCAACAACACCAAAAATCTCAAATCACCAAGGACAAGTTTATATACTTACAATGTCATGTCCATTACTGTTCCCACAGGAAAGCAGCGAGCTCGACAGACTGGTGTTCCTCCCTTTGCTATAGTCCCTTCCCATTTCCACTCTTTGGTCAAAGAAGGCTGATGCAATTCAGGAGTTGACTTTTTCCACTCGACTGCATTTGGAGGCATTGAACCAGAACCAGCCTGGAAGCTGCCATAAGGTTGTGCATTCCAGTGATCACTCCTTTCCCCGTAATGTTGAGTCAAATTCATTGCTTGATCAGGAATTTGTTTATACCCAAACGATCCAGGCTCAAAATTTTTATCAAGGGCCTCAGGTTGAGGAAAATCAGGGAACATCCTAGGGAAACCATGCTTTGCTTGCTCTGCACCGGAGAAAGGATACTCTGGAAGCTCATTTTCCAGAGGAAAGTTGCTGGTTTTTAGTTTCTTCGCTCTGTGAAATACCAAGTCATCTTCCGGCAAGTCCCAAGAATCATCAAAGATTGGACCTTTCCGAGGGAACTCCTGGGGAGAGAAATCACGGAAGTGAGCACCTCTGTCTCTTTTAGGACTACTGTGGCGTTCATACATATTTTCTGGTACTCCAAGTTCGGGCCCGAAATCATGGAACCTCCTCTGTTCAAAATCACCACCCATACCGGGCCATAAATTACCCTTCCGGCCAAAATTCACGACATCGGGATCCCCAGACTCAAGATCTGAGATAAAACGAGGCGATCTCATGGTGGGATCTCCGGCTAAGCTCCCGAATTTCCTATCCTGTCGAAAGTTCTCGGAAGATCCAGCACGTCCGTAAGACTTAAAACGTGGGGAGGGAGGGGAGTTCATCGAGTTCCTTCCACTGTTGGACGATCCAGATTCACTTTTTGCGAAACAAATATGTACTCGAGGATTACCAAATAATTTCCCCTGAAGAGTTTCTTTGGCCCTGCACGCTGCCATTACATTTCTGAAGCGAACAAAGGCATAACTACGACCAGGAAATGCAGTAATCTTCTCAATCTCGCCGAATGGTGAAAAGGCCTTCCTCAAAATAAATTCATCCACCTTCAACAAAGCTGGAAACCCTATCCATAAGACCTCACTTGGTGGTTCTGCATTTTTGTCGCTCGTCTTGGGTCTATCAGGATAATGAGGTTCAGGACTAGGGCGATATGATCTAGAATCTCTCTGCGAGAATGGAGATCTTCTTGTTCCTCCAGACCTTTGTTCATCTCGGCGTTCATCTCGGCGTTTCAAGTAATCGTCCTCTCGTGATGGTGTTGATGACTTATCCTGTGATGCAAAATCATATCGTGTAAAACCAATTTATTGCTTCGAGAAATATATATATATACATAATTTCAAGGTCACATAAGATTTTGATTCATGAATTAATACACAAACAAATCAAGTCAAAGAAAAAGTTTAATTATCAACGAATTGACCATCCCATAAATGTAAAAGAAAAGTTACGAAGTGATAAATCCAAGCAGAATGGAGAAAGAACAAGAACACAATATGTGCCATTGTATTTTCATTGAAAGCCTCTTGATTTTTCATTAAGCCAGACTTCCAAACATCTTCAAGATAACCAATGACAACATCAAACAGAAAAAAAGAAGAAGAAGAAGAAGAAAACCAATGATTACAACAGGGTAGAACAAAACCACGGGGTAGGCCAAAATTTCACCATGAATTTGCTTCACAAAAACAACTTACTACTTACAGTCAGTCAAGATTTTTTTCATTTTTTTATAAATTTTTTGGATCAACTGAACCAATTCTTTTTGAGAAACAGGGAAGGCAAATTGTTCTTAAACCGTTAAAATTATGGCACAGATCAAATGTAACATAGCAAAAAGTTTCATGGGGTTATCAGGAATACTGTAGGAACACATAAAAGTAAATATGATGCCATACAGAATAACTCACACCAATCAACTCATGTATTCCGAATCTCAGATATAGTCCGGTAAAACCTTAAGGAAATGACATGCAATCAGAATCACAAAGGAAATGGCATGCAATTAACTCATGTATTCAGAATCACAAATTACATGGAATCACAAAATTTGTTTCATCACTTCCAAAAGAGAACCTTCCTCAGGGCAGCAATCTGCATTGATCCTCCTTTCCAAGATGGGTACCAAATTGCATTCATTTAACATATTCCCCAAGCATTAAGGTTGAAAAAAAAAAATTCACAACGGGGCTTTGTTGATGATCCCATTCAAGGAAAACAATAGAAAAAACAGCACATAGTACATGGCACTTCTGTTTGACAATGATGCTTGAACCAGTGATTCTACACAAGAAACATCACCATGATACAAATTTCACTTCAGGGTAATGGTGAGGTGAAAGCAATGAGATTAAATATAGAAACATATAATTAAAAAAAAAAGGTAGATGCAATTCCTTGATGTTGGACAAAAACAATAGAAACAAACAGCATGGGATTTATTCTCTTAAAATAAGTCTTCAGTAAAACTGGGACAAGAACAACATATTTTTTTTGATATTTTGCTGACTAAACGTTTGTCACATCAAAAACTAAATCTTTTTATTACAAAGCTACTGCTGCATTCCAAACAAGCAAGCAAGGAATGAGCAGCTTGAAATAGATAGGGGGAACTCTTTCTAAAGTAAAATGATTCACGGGAATGGAAGGGAGATCTAGCTGGGGGAAGTAATTCATTAACCAGTAAAATTACTCCCACAGCAACAATGACAGCACTAGAAAAATTATTGTCCACAGAAATATATATACAAGGTTCGTTGATGTAAATTTCCTTATTCCCTGTCTGTGTTTCTATTATATCAGCCCTCTCCACCTCCAAAGGACTAACTAGGTGTCCTAGAAAACATTGAAGAGATTTTGGTGCACGAGTCCTCATAAGACTTCTGAATGTGCAATCACTGTAGGAGATATGTATTCTTAATTTTCAAAGAAGAAAAAAGCACAAACCCTATAATGATTGAAATTTCAAGCCTTCAACGAATTTCAGTATGATGCAGATTTAACAGAGATATAGCAACGCATGTATTCAAAGCCTAGTATCAATGTCAAACTAGTTTATGAGATAACAGCTTTGGACATACTCAACAGAACTCAAACCAGACCTGTAATAACAGGTCTGGCATGAATAATGCTAGACTTTCATTCATAGGCTCAAAGAAATGATACTGATAAATGATACCAAGGCAGACTTGGTTAGCTTCTCTAAAAGTTGGACTACATTTTCCGAAACAAACTTGTTCTAGTACAATGTTTTCCACAAGGCACAAATTTAATACTCGCAATTGTCTGGGATTGTATGGACACTTTGGAAATTTGTTTTTTCTGCAGCAAAAAGTTTTGCTATTACATTTTACAATATTTCAAACAATCTCCTGTCAAAAGTGTAAAAATGGAATGGGAGGGAGGAATTGCCAATCCATGAAAATCTTCAATTACTGTACTTGCATGTACCTGAAATTTTGCTCCTACTAGTGAATTCCTTGCTTACACACACAAATGAAAACAAAGAAAAAAGTGCAATTCCTTATCGACTATTTGGAATGGGTCTTGACATCTCGAGGCCTCAACTTAAAGCAAAGTTCAATCTGGTAACAGGTATATCTCCTCAGTCTTTGTCAATAATAACGAGTCCAAACATGCTGAGTTGCTTGGAGGTTTCTAGATATTATAATCGTTCTCATGTTAAGGTAGAAGAGGATAGTGCTGGTGTAATTCGATGGACTGTTTATTGCACAATTGAGTTGGTTTTCCAGTTGCCGTAGATTTATCATTAAAGTGATGTTGCAGAAGATTGTACTTTGAAAGCTTCTTTAATCAAGTAATTTTCCTAATGCTCAATATGCTAATCCTTGTTCTAGCAGGGGCACATGTACATTCATCAAACCAAGAATCCCAAGCTAGCCAACTTCAAAAGACAATTCACCACCTTGTTTATACAGCTTACACACAAGCACACACTAGGGGTGGGCATCGGCCCGTTGGCCCGCCCAGTCCAATTTTATTTTTTTAGGACTTAGGAATATTGTTTTAGACCATAGGATAGGGTGGGTTGGGTTGATATTTTGAGCCCAATTGATTAATGGGCAGGATTTGGGAATTGTATTTCTGGCCCGGCCCGGCCTGGTCCGCTACATATTTAATTAATTAATTTATATAATATATTGAAAATATATGTACTCTTTTATTGTTGGCCTCGGGTTTTGTTAGTTTTATCTTTACCCTACACAAAAAACTGCCTCCACAATCTGTGTTGCTAGTTTTATCTATGATCTTGCAATCTGTGTTGCTAATGGAACTTTTTTCCTTATTATTGTGTAGGGACGTGAAATTCCTATTGTCCAGTAATTAAGGCAACACTTCTGGAAATACATTTTTGTGCAAAATTTTTTTTGCTTCCCATTTATTTCAATATGGCACTGAGTGAATCTAAAGTTGCTTACTTTAAAATAAAATATGGGTAGATTCACATTCTTTAATTTTTTTTTTTTTTAATAGCTTATGTATATAGCCCGATGGACGGGCTTAAGAATTATAATTTATTTAGGGCTGGGCTTGGGATGGTTATATAGGCCCGATGTTTGGGCTAGGCGGGCTTGGGCAAACACAAAGAGTCTTATTAGGTAGTGCCAGCCCAGCCCAGTGAATGACCACCCCTCAAGAGGCTAAGATTTGGCAGAGCAGCAAAGACTTGAGGATAAGATTTAAGGTCTTAAGTTCAAGTCACCTCAAGGGGTCACTGGAGGTTTGCCCGGCCGTTAATTTCAGGATCCTAGGATTAGTTAAGTGCACGCAAGCTGGCCCACACACTCAGTTATTAAAAAAAAAAGTGCTATGGATTTTATATACACAAAACTGCATCCTAGAGGCAACATTTTCTTATGCAAATATGCAATACACCTGAGGCTCTCTATTCCGATAATTAATAAAGCAATAAACTTATACCACTCACATCAACATGAAGTTTCTGGGCTACCAATCACTCAATCAGTAAAAAGGATTTGTTTTTCCCTAATGCTCAAAAACATGGGCAATGACACTGGGTTACTTAATTCATCTTTTACTTGCTCTCCCTTGAAAAGTTAGATAATATCTTGACAGGGCACCGGAATAACTTCCTATTGTCTTTAGTGTTTCAAGTGGGGAATTTGTTTCATATGAATATTGTATAACAGACCACATACAGCTCACTGCTCCAAAGACCATACTTCCCACATTAGAACTGAGCTACAGGGATGCACATTTTAACCTTCATTGGGAATTAGATTGTGTTCCCTCTCCCTATTATTTTTGCAACCACTACCTTCTTTTAAGGCATCATATAAATGACACTATAGCTTTATTGATGGTCTTTGTAAACAACAACGAAGACATAATTCTACATAAGAGAAGATGATAGATATGTTTTAACTTTGAAAGGATTCAAGTAAGAAATAAATTGTCAATTCAGTTCACATAATTAAACAATTCCACTCATGATTGCAATATATACATTAACAACTACTATTCATGCACATACAAGAGATTCTTGGGATAAGAAAGCATTAACATAATATATCACAATATAGAGTGATATCTATGCCTTCTTTTGTTCATGCCTTGCAAGAAACAAACCATATGGTTTTTCATCCTCACAACAGAAAATTTTGCATATACATATCCATTCACTTTGAGAAGTAAAAATACATGTATCAATCCATTATCATTCACTGTAACAATAGATATTTGATTGGGCAGTTATACTGCTCACCCAAACACATTTTGATTTTTGTATTACTCACTTTATAAGAAGTTGGCAACTTCAATACATACATGTTCCGGTGAAATGTTCTAAACTCCATTGATGATTGAACCAGGCATGAATACATGGTTCTTGAATATTAAAACAAAGACAACTGAAATGATGGAATCCTTTCAAGCTACTGGAGTATATAATGAAGATTTGTGGATACTGCTCTGGTGATTCTTGCTTTACAATGTACTGGTGAATGCATGTGAATGTTGCACTGATGGCAAGCAACAACATCCATTAGACGTAGAGCATGGCACAAATAGCTTTGATTTTGTTTTTCATCCTCACAACAGAAAGTTTTGCATATACATAACCATTCACTTTGAGAAGTGCAAATACATGTATCAACCAATTATATTGGGTTATTTGGTTGGAAATTAATGCAAGGATCTTTGAGGACAAGTTGAGGCTTGAATTGTGTCACTTGGCATTGTTTTGGGCTTTCATTTTTCTCTCCCAGTTAAAGGGGTTCCACTCTTTTTGATTTCTAGAAATTGGAGAGTTGTTTAGGATGTATAAGTTGTTTTCTTGATTTGCTTGATGTTGTGCTTTCCAACCTTGCGGAGGACTCCTTGTCCTCCCTTGTATCTATCTTTTTTTCTTTTCAATAAATTTCCTTTTTGTTGCTGATCAAAAATAAATATGTATCAACGCATTATCATTCATGGTAACAATAGATATTTGATCAGGCAGTCATATTATATTGGTCACCTAAACACATTTTGATTTTTGTAATACGCATTTTATAAGAAGTTGGCAACTTCAATACATCATGTTCCAGTGAAACATTCTAAACTCCCTACATGATTGAACTCTACATGGATATATGGTTCTTGAATCATAAATCAAGCTGCTGGAGTATATAATGAAGATTTGTGGACTGTTATGTTGATTCCTTATAACGTATTGGCAAATGCATGTGAATGTTGCACTGATGGCAAGCAACAACATCCATTTGCTCAACATAACAGTATTGGGCTTTGACAGTATTCACTATTTATCATGCACCTTATGATTTGAATGTGCTTGATCTAAACATAGCATGCTTTAACAAAGCCCAGTTCACCGCCAAGGAATGACATTTGCTGTACCCTTGGTGAGCATTGGATCTTACAATGGCATGCTAGACACCAAAGTACTCAGCTTTGTCAGTTTTCTAGCATGACTTGGGAGGATATATTAATTTACAAAGACAAGCAAGGCTCATTGTCTGGAAAAGTGGAGTCATGGTATGGCACAAGTAGTGAGAAGTATCAACCGTCATGTTAGTGTTTGTTATGAAGAAACAATAGCTTGTTTGTGCTCCTCAACTTGATAGAAGACCATCCTCACATTACATAATATTTATAGGTGAAGATTTCACTCTGTTGCTGAAGCCTTGGAGATTCATAAATTCAACTGAGCACATATAGTTTATCTACACGTGCATATTGTCAAACGAACCTTGTACAGCTTATAAATGAAAGATATTACGAGCCTTGTTGGGCAAAACCGAATAATGTGTGACTAAATTCTTACTCTGATGTTGAATACAATAAATTGAGAGGTCATAGTTTCTGATGGTAGTAAAGGTATCCCTCTAATTTCGCATCCAGAAGCTTAATCCAATGTTCCAAAGCAGAAAAATTGTACTATACTCAATGAATAGCTTCTTTATATTCAATCAGAATATTTAAATACCCTGATCAAATTGTAAACGAAGAAGTATGTGCGGGCATTTCATAGGATTCAAGAAAAGGTATTTAATCATTTTGAAAGGCATATTGAGCATCCAATCAACCTGGTAACATTCCGTATCACATAGAATGCGGAGCTAACACCAAAATATTGTTGTCTTCACCATTGTAAGTTGAATCAACACTACGATGAGCAGCAACTTCTACAACAAGCTGCATATCCCTACTCATAAAACTGTCATAACAATGCAATGCCAACTAGGGCATGTGTGTCCTCCATGATTTCCCAATAATCAAGTTCATTATAAATTGCATGATTTTATCAAAGATGGGAGATCATATTTTTAGTTATCTAAAATAATGCAAGTATCTCATAGAAAGGAGAGAAATGTCAATCCTTGAATTACAAAGCCAATCCCTTTGAAGTCATCCATTGCCCCTTTATTTTAATGCTGGTGAAAAATATTGTGGAGAGCCCACCCAGGATTGCAGATCTGACATAATTTTAATATTGTTGGTGCATTTAACTTGCATATTAGTTTTTGAGAGGCCTACCCTCTGTAAACTCAGTACTTAATAGAAAATGAAAGAATGACCTATTCCTTGGAAAATGAATGGCTACCCTTATATATCTGATTAGTTACAGTTTTCCTTCTGTTAAAGGTGGTCATAAGCATGCCAAGCCCATTCAATACAGGCAACAATAACAAGCCACTCTTTAAGTGTAGAAGTTAATTTCTTTAAGCTGCAATTTTGTGTCCATGATAGAAGAGACATCCTTCTCACTAGCTGAATAATGTGGAGCACATTCAATTGAAAAGGGAAGAAGGTCCCACACTCCAAGCACCCTGTCTGCACCTCATTTGAAAACTTATAGTTCCCTTCTTTGATTTTGTTGACAAGCCTAACAAATATTCGCTTTAAGGTAGTGCCCGTAATATTCTCGAGTGTACGGCCATCAATTTATTTATGTCTTTAGGATGTCACCATCTTGTTGGCTGAGTAGAATGTAAAGCATGGAATGGAAAATGAAAAAGGACCTATTCCTTAGATTAGGGCGTCAACAACTTTGCATGGTATAGTTAATTAACTTAATTTCATTTATCAGATAAGTTTATCCCTTCAATAAATGTGTCAATAGCATGAAATGAGAAGCAAATCTTTTGTGAATGGGCTAAGAATCTTCTCCCAAAAGATTAGATATTGGATCACATGTTTCTTTTCTGTTGTTCTTCTTCAACACATGTTAATTTAAGCTAATTTTGCTTTTGTAGAATGGATTAAATAATTGATGGAACATATGCATCTACAATAAAATGACAGTAACATTGCATCATAAGAAAAACAGACAAAGGTGGACAAAACTAACCGCCTTTGTGAACTCAATTCTAAGTGGATTGCCCGCAACAACATAACCTTGAAGTGCTCTCATTGCTTCACAAGCATCTTCTTCATTTTTAAAATTAACGAAAGCATAGCTACGACCCGGTTGAAAAGCAACTCTCTCAAGGTCACCAAATCTTAAGAATTGATCAGCTAAAGTGTTTTCAGATATGTGATGAGACAAATTTCCAACCCAGAGGTGTCTTGATGGGGGAACATTGTTTCGCCCATAATGGCTCTTCTCTTCAGATCTTGGAAGGTAATCTCTACGAAACCTGTCCCTCCCTCCTCTGCTAGTCTATAAAAACACCACACAAACCAATCACTAACAAAGATTAGAAGATAAATGGATTAGTTACTTGGCAAAACTAAGATAACAGATGCAAAAAAAAAAAAAAAAACTAAACTAAGATAGCAGATGCCCCCACTCACTCTTCTCAAAATTGGTTTGGGGATTAAAAGCTAAAGAAAGTTCATATCAAATCACTTTTAAGTCAAAGATAAATGAATGAAATTATGATCATATACATAAACACGTACACAAATATGAATCGAGGAGGGGAGGGGGGGGGGATTGCAGCTTGTAAAGGCCATTAGTCTAATTTTTCCAATTATTTAACACAATTACAAAACTGGGTTGGAGATTTAGAGAGCTTACAGAGGCAACCCCAAGGGGTTGGCCAGATGGGTGCAACTTGGGGCCTAGGGGTGTGCTCCCTCTAGTTCTCAAGTTCAACTCCCATGAGCAATGAGCCACAGGCGTGGCTCTGCTCAAGATTTGCCCAATCCACCTGGAGGGGCGCTTTTCGTGATTCTAGGATTAGTCGAGGTGCACGTAAGCTAGCCCAAACACCCGGTCATAAAAAATAAAATAAAATTGGAGCTTAGAGAGGCTCTAAATGTTCACACATAAGTCTCTATGCATATAAGAACTTTCAGTGAAGTGGGTCGAGGTTAGTCCAGTATGGGTATAACAAGACACAACCATGTCAATACAATCCAATCAACTGAAAGCCTAACAAAATTCTTGTCCAAAAACTTGACGAAAACCCAAATAGAAGATGAAAATTGACCAGTGGACAAAATACAATAGGTTGAATTAGCAAATTTCTCGGAAATTGAGAGAGAGATTGAAGTGGAAGGAAAAAACTAACCATTATCGTTCGACAAGGATTCGGCAGAGCACCGAAAGCTCAAACTTATCAGATTGATTCGAGATAGAATGTGTCCCACAAATATGTACACGAAGAGAGAGAGAGTGGAAGATCGCGCAATTTGGTTGACGGGAGATTAGGGTTTGGGGTTGAGGCCTGGAGGAGGAGTGTTTATATAATGGGGTTAGTGATGCAGGGAAAAGAAAAGGCTGGGGCTTGCCTCCAGTACTGGATTGGAGGGTCCAGTCCGGTTTACTAGTTAATTTTTTATTTTTTTTTTAATAATTTGAATTGTTCATATTTTAAAGTTTGTTGAGTATATTATTTTAGTAAAAAATAGTACCGATAGGATAATGGATATTATATATTCAGATCACTTTTTTATGAATCATTAATTTTCTAACTATCTATTTTTTTCAAACAAAAATAGTCCGAATACATAGTAGGGAAATTTAGGTATAAACCCCATTTACCTTCCTTTCATTGTTAAAAGGACTAAGAAAAAAATTATACTTTCTAAAGATTGTTCGATTAATAGAAATCTTTGTAGATTTATTCCGAAAATTAATATTTTGCGCATCAATTAAATTAAAATTTTGGATAATTGTCACTTGCGACGCAAGTGATGATTACGAGTGTAGTAGATTTTCAATCTTACGACATGTGTAATATTGTCACTATTTAATTTAGATTTTTGCAGCAAAATTATGATGTGATATACTAATCAAAATTAATCACAATCATTTTTTCCTCTAAATAACTTATGGAAGTTAATTTGGTTGACCTAGACTTAGTATAGATGTTCAATTGTGAATAATATAATTCTATTCTAAGCAAAAAGTCTTGGAGACTTTATATCAAATCTTAATTGAGCCAAAGTAAATAACACAGCTCAACGTCGCCGTGTTTTTTATTGCCTTGATTGACACAATATAAATTAATGTATGCGCTATGATTAGCAGCATGCTAAATAGTTTTGATTGACGAGTTTGGAATTGTGAGCTTAGTAAACTATTAAAAGATCTAGATGTGATCTTAATTATTGAGCTGCGTGGATTTACTTTATAATTTGATTCTTGACAATGTTGCATCATTGGATGAAGCGGCATCCAAGAATCATGTCATCCAAGATATGCGAGCTTAAGCTAATTAGTCATTAAGTGTAAGACAAGTAGCTACTATAAGCAATGTTTAGCTCTCTACTCACCTAATGGATGTGGATTGAGCAAAATTTCACACGCTATCATAATGTGCATTTAAATGTAACTTGAAGTTAAAAAAATAGCACTTAAAAGGCTACAAAACCTATTAACATTAAGTGACAAGATTAGCACCTTTTTTACTTTTGTGCAGAGTAACATTTTACTTTTAGTTTCAGAGTCTCACAATTTACTCATTTTTCAGAGTAAAATTTTACTTTTATACAGAGTAAAATTTTACTTTTGTGTAGAGTCTAACATTTTACTAGTTTTTCAGAATAAAGTTTTACTTTTATATAGAGTAAAATTTTACTTTTAGCTTCAGAGTCTCACAGTTTACTCGTTTTTCAGAGTAAAATTTTACTTTTGTGTAGAGTCTAACATTTTACTAGTTTTCAGAGAAAAGTTTTACTTTTATACAGAATAAAATTTTACTTTTAGCTTCAGAGTCTCACAGTTTACTCATTTTTCAGAGTAAAATTTTACTTTTGTGTAGAGTCTAACATTTTACTAGTTTTTCAGAGTAAAATTTTGCTTTTATACAGAGTAAAATTTTACTTTTAGGTTCAGAGTGTAACATTTTACTCTTATTCAAAGTAAAATTTTACTTTTATATAGAGTAAAATTTTACTCTGAAATACACAGTGAAGATGGCTTAATAGGAGAGCTGATAGATATGAGGGTAATATAGTAAAAGAAACAAGTTTAAAAATATTAGGGAGTTTTGAAAGTACTTATAGAATTCTTGTCCTTTTGAAAGACAAATTAGATAGTGAGGGGGCTGTCACCAAATCCCCCTACATAGTATCCGTTATCCGATCGACGTGATTTTTTACAAGAATAATTTACTCAACAAACCGTTAAATGTGAACAGTTTTAATTATCAAAAAAAGGCCCAGAAATGAGCCAAATGGGCCGAACTAAACTGGACTATACTATCCCAAATCTAGACTGAAAACAGTTCAACCCAAAAGAAAAATACAAATTCATCACAAAAAAAATTATAATTATAATTATAATTATTAATTTTTATAAATTTTTTATTAATTTATAATTATTTTTTTTAATATCTCACTGATTTAATACTTCGCCTTAAATAACCGACATCAAGAGATTGTTTGAGATATACTAAAAAAACTCACTTATTTATCTTTTTTTATTTATATCACTGCTCTATTGTTTTATATCTTTTTATAAAAAAATTAAAAAATACATTTATTTAAATCACTTTAAGCAATCCAAATATCGGAAGATTGTTGGTAGGGTTGGAAGTGGTGGGCCACATTTATGCCTATGCTCCAAGGCTCGTTTATTTTAAGAGATAGAAGGAGGATTGAGATTAAGATGGAGATGGAGATGAGACTCACTAATGTTGTGTTTGTTTGGGGAGATAGAAAGGAGATTTATAATCCCCTCCGGATTAGGATGGGCTTGGGAGAGGGGATTAAGATGGAGGTTCTGGGCTCCGTTTGTTTTCAGAGATAGAATGAAAGGGATTGATAGTGAGGGGATTAATAGTGAGAAATTATTAAATTATTTTTATAATAATAAAACAAATAAAAGAATATAAAAATTAAACATTAATATTTTAAAAAAAATTCCCAATATATAAAAAATAAAAAAAATAAAAAAATTTCTAATCCCCTCACTATTTTTCTAATACCATCTCTACCTCCTCACTATGAATCCCCCTTCCAAAGGTATTAGTAATACCAATGTATTAGTAGTCCCAAGGCCATCCCTCAAAACAAACAAAGTATTAGTAATACCAATGTATTAGTAGTCCCAATACCCTTCTTATAACCCAAACAAACGGGGCCTGGGATTTGGTATTAGAAAATAGTCCGTTGGATTTTTTTTTTAATTATTTTTTACATGTTGAGCATTTGTTTTAAAAACATTAATGTTTAATTTTTTGTGTTTTATTTTATTTTGTTTTATTTTTTATTTTTTACATGTTAGGCATTTTTTTTTAACATTAATGTTTAATGTTTTTGTATTTTTTATTTATTTTATCATTTTATATAAAAATAATTTAACAATTTCTACACCAACAACTATCATCAAAACAAACACAATTTAACTTAATTCCTTTACTATCAATTCCTTCACTAATAATTCCTTCACTAACAATTCTCTCACTCTATATCTCTTCTATTCTATATCTAAAAACAAACAATCACTTAGAATGTTTATTTATCCATATTATCGCTAACTGGTAACTTTTTTTGGGTAAATTTTTTTGTTACACTGACGACTCTGGCGACCATATAGACAGGCAAGTAAAAATAAAGAATAAAAAAAAATATTGATTTATTTTATTAATCATATACTTATCTCCAAAAAATCAAAAAAAAAAAAAAAACCATTTCATATCTGAAGTCAACTTTATCACCAATAAACCTTTTTATTTTGCGATGCAGCCATGTCAGGGAGGATAAGAAGTCTTTTTTTTTTTTTTTTTTTTTTGTTAAATCCAAAATTTTACTAGTACAATTTTTAGAAGCAATCTAATAATTGTTTTTAAAAAAAAAGAGTATTTGTTTGAGAATTGACTTTTTAAATACTTTTTGAATTTTTGACTTTTTTTTTGAAGTGAAAAAAAATATTAATTTGTTTGGGAATTATTTTTTATAAGTTGTAACAAAAATCATAATTACTGAGATGCTTGACTTTTTAAAATAATTTTCTAACCTTTCTAAATTTTTTTTTATTATAAATATTTTAGCCAAAAAATTAATTTACAAAATGAATATGAATTTGACCAAAATTTAACTAAGGAAACTTATTTATTATAGTGTGTTTGGGCAGTAAATTTAAATTTAGACTTTCTTTACTCAAAGGTTTAGGCGTTTAAACATTAAGTCCATAAGGACAATTTCTTGTAAAATGACCACACTATCCTTTATTTATATATACTAGGTAGGAAAAAAGTCCATGCAAAGTACGAGTCAAACGTTAAAATAAAATATTTGTATGAGAAAATATAAATTATTTAAATTGATTATTTGTGTATTATCTTTCATGATAGGTACAGACGACTTAACTTTTTATAAATTTTAGAAATTAAAATTTAAATGAAGCATTTTTATATATTTTATACATCTTAATATTTTAATCTAAAAATATGAAATTACTTTCCCCTTTTCTTAACTTCAAATTTAATCTTGAAGAACTCAAAGGGGTCATGGAGCCAACCATAAGTCCCGTTTTCATTATCTAAATTGTTCATTTTATAAGACTTTCCATGTATACCATCAATAAAAAAACGATTATGTTGATCAAATAATTGTAACTTTTTTATTTTAATTGGGTTTGTCTTAAAAAAAAATATCTATTTTAAAACAATAATGTTATAAACACTAATTAGTATACGCATTAACACACTAATTAGATACAATAATAGGTAAGACTACATTGAGTGGTGGAATCCACACGTCACTACAAGAAAATGGCTTATATAACACGGAGCTTTTTGCGACGGCACTTATCACGTCGCAACAAATGGTCTTTTGCGACGGTAGTTTACAGCGTCGCCAATAAGTAGCTTTTCCGACGATAGTTACCTCGTTGCGAATGAGCATACAAGAAAATGTATGTTAAATACGGAAGTATTTGCGACGCCTTGTGTACCATTGCAAAAAACAAATTTTTTGAGACGGGAAAAATTTGTTGTCGCAAATAATGGACAAATTGTACACAAGGCGTCATTTTACTTGTTAGATTTATCATTTGTGACGCCTTGTCATGACCCGAACCCGCCCCTATGGGTTAAGGACATTTTACATTTTAGATCTAATGTTTTTTCGACAGTATGGTGCCGTCGCAAAAAAAAGAAAAAAGAAAAAAAAAGCCACAATAAAAATATTAAAAATATTAAAATTACCTGTATTAAATGAAAAAAAATTAAAAAAGAAACCAATAATTACATAATAATATAAAAATTCCTGTATAGAAATAACAATTTTTCTATAATAAAAATATTCTTACATTCATAACTAAACATCAATAAATTACCCCACTACATA